GTCTATACAAAGACAAAGTTTATGGGGCCCTCCACACTTCACTGAATTTGATGTGATTTATAATTTTATCTCTGGATGTCTTTTTCTTTATTGATTCCATGAAGAAAGCACAAGGCTTACTAAAGGCGAACTGAGTTTCTTTGCATTTTCTTTTACCCTGTATCATAAACTTGAGGATATGGGATATATAATTGATCTAAAGATCCTAACAGAAGGGTTGTATATTTAGATTTTGTAATATTGTAAATTTCAGCAAGCCGATGGTTGTCTGACTAGCTTACAATGAGATTAGAATGAAATAGGAAAGGGATAAAATTCACAATGCTATTTAAGATGCCATTTCAACAAAAACTACCAAGTTCTCATACACTTAGAAAGCATTTGTCTTCAAAAGCACAATCAGAGATTCTCTACCTCACAACCGGTGGTGAGTCAAAACAACAAGGAATTTTAATTGTGTTCCAACAGGCCCCCAGGTTTGACAATATATACTAAATATGCATGTTTTTTCTGGAAAGCTTTCAAAAAGTGGAACTGGTGTCAGTGGGAGTCCTTTGTATTGATGACAAATTCGGGGCTGCCTGGAAAAACAGAAGTCTGATCCAAACGATGCTATGCCTGAGCTTCTGCAAGAACAGCTGCTCAAACTGCATTTTCTGGCACGGGGAGGCGAGATTACTTGGACAGCTGCATTTCCAGCACTTCTTTTGGCCAGCCTCTGTGGGGACAGCACCTCTCCTCTCTTCCTTGAAAGGCCTGGTGTCCCAGCTGCAGCTGCAGGGGCTACAGCAGTACTGCCCCAAAGCCTGTGGCTTTTGGTTTCTTTTCTTGGTGAGCCATTCCCTCCATGCAGGGACCCAGTGGCGTCTCCTTATTCCCTGTTCACTTTCAGAGAAAACAAATGCTCCCCTCCTCACATTCCAAGGAGTGAGACTTTCTTAGTTACATGAAGGTCTTGCCTTGTCTGTGGGCTTTCTGGATCCTGTCCTTATATCTGTTGAGAAGCTATTAAGCCTAGTGGCAAAGACTTGAATTGGACAGAAGGGAGACAGGTGTTGTGTAAGCTTCCCCTTCAGGCAGCTTGTGCAGGACGCTTCCCTACTGATCTCAAACTCCCACCCACTGTCATTCCCAATTTAAACCTCTCTGGAGCAGAGAGCAGTATACTCTGCAGATGTAACTAGTACTTACTAAAACAAATAAAACAGGATCTCTGAATGCCAAAGTTACACTAATCTGTTTATACCACCTACTCTCCAGTCTTCTCCAAAGTGCTGTAAATATTGGATTTTCTGTTTGGGTGATTGTGATACTTATCTAATGAAAGAAAAAGCAAAGCAAGATAATGAACCTGTTGTAGATTGAGCTGCAGCCTCAGGTCTGCCCAGCTCTGCACACTGTAACTATACATCACTCTATACTACGTCTTTAGTCTCTGTAGGTCTAACGGTGTTTTTCTCCAATAACTTTAATATCAATAAATATATTTAGCCACCTGAGATATTTACTCCAAATACTGATGCATTTGATCTTCAAATATGAGATTGTTTTAGGTCTAAGGTCTATCTTTCTGAAGTTAGAGAGAAAAGGATGGGGTGCTTTGTAACAATTATGTGGTATTTTCTAAACCAGGTTGCTTTTCCTAAGATTAGGAAACCATATAAAATTAAACAATAGAAGGAAGAATCTGGTGGCTGAAGCAGAAGCTATTAAAGTTATCTGGGATTAAATAAACATCCTATTGCATAGTAATATTGTACTTTTATAATGCATTTATTTCCTTTTTATACCCCATATTTTATATATTTTTTTCCTTCTTAATATCACAGCAATGGGTTCCCAATGTTTTCAAACAGGATACTCCCTTTTCTCACCAAAACAGTTAATAAACTTTCACCTGAGTTTATGATAGTAAATGTACCTTTATTAATAGGCATTTGAATACAGAAGACAACAAAATTTTCTCAGAATTTAGTTACACTTGTATTATCATAACAGGCTCTACAAACATTTAAAAACAGAAATGCATTATCTACAATGACATAATATTTATTCAGTCTAAAAACAATGCTTAACGCACATGTAGATTCGTGGACCATTCAGGTTGTATATGGACTCCAGGTGAGAAATGACTAATTCTGAAAGACCAAAGCCTATAATTTGTGTCGCAATTTCTGTGCAATGATAAATCTTCTATCTCTGATTTTTAAAAAGCAATTTATTTTGTCCTTGAAAAAAAAGCTTAGTCTAATTTTCCTAATCTGATAAATACCCTGGGGCATTAGATCTGTTTCCTAATTAAACAGTGCTTTACAGGAAATCTGGAGCAGGACTCTGAGGGGAAGGAAAGTTGCTCATTTTGATAGCCACAGTGAAAATTTCCCATCACAAGAATAAAAATTGGATTCAATTAAAATAGAACTAAATTGTGATTATATCTTTCTGTAAGATTATTAATTCTGTTATCATATGGACATATGTGATTTTACAAGAGCCCCACATAGAACCACTAGACAATGAGGAAAACAGCCCGTGTGAGTGAGTGGGAGAAATGGAGTCACTTTAGGGTTTCCCAGGAATACAAGGTGACTTTTTGCTAATATGTATGGAGACTGGGGCATCGTTTCACTGGACATCTAAGCAGACGATTGAATTAGGTACAGACAGGCTCTCAAAGGACCTGTTGTTTTTTGAAACACACCCACACACAGGCATACCCACACACACATAAAGGAAGACATAGGATAACATTTCATTTTAATTATTTTCTTAGTTAATATTGATGGGTGGGCATTTGGGGAGGAAAAATATTTTTTCATTGCAATTGAAAATGATTCAATAATTGGGTTGGACAGTATTGTAAGGCATATTTAAGGAAGGTAGGAGACGACTAGGTTTTATATTTTCTGGAAGAGGCATATCAAATGCATAAAGAGAAGCCATATGTATATAATGGCAGATGGAGACAATTGAGAAAGATGAAATTGGGACTTAATCTTACTTAAAGTTTCAAACTCAGAAGAGGAACTGTGTGTGGATTCTGGTTTTGTCTTTGGCTGACTGGTTGACTGCCTGTTCTTACCAGGAACACCTTTGTCCTGTTTCTCAGTGTGTTTAACTCGGAAGAGAATCAGCTATTTTAACAAGATAATGTGGAAGTCAGTAAGTCAAAACTTCTGTATTTATAAACACTTATACATCCTCAGATAATGTATTAAGGATATACTTGAGAGAAATATTAAATTTGTTATAATAGTTCAGAGATGAAATTTTTCTTAGACAATTAAAAATGCAGCATAGATTCTCAGATATGTGGAGGAACTACCTTTTCTTCAAATAATGTCAAAATTTTAGCTGTTATACCTATTTTAGAGCCTTTATATACAGAATCAATATCATACTTTTTACATTAACCTCCACTTATTTGACTCACTTCATTTTTTAGGATTATAAAATATGAAATGTCAAAACATTACCCTGATCATAAATGTGACTGTCACATACAATTTTTGAAATATGCATTCTCGTAGTTGAAAAATGATTAAATGAACCATTATCTTAACAATTGATCATTTCCTACATTTTTCCAAACAAAAGACTAGAATATGGAATCGTCTATTTCATACCTCCACCTAAGACAAAAATGTTCATTTTTCTATTCCTTTTAATGTCACAAATGTGTTCTTGTTGTGCTACTTTCTCTGTTGCCTTAATAGTGACAGAGAAAAAGCAAACTGCTAGAAAAACAAAAGAAAAAATTATTTCCCAATTTAAGGATTAACACTCTTATTATTAATAGAATTCTGTAGTGAGGTACCACCATCTGCTAAAAGTTTACAGAAAATAAGCTGAGTTTAAAAGTAAAGCTAGAATTACTACAATATACAGAACAGCATTTGGGGTGTATGCCACTGTACATCTCATGTTTTTCTTATTCAGGGAGAAATTCTATTTGGTTGGTTTTATGAAGATGAAAGCTGATAAGGCTAGAAGGTAGCTGGTGCCCCAAGAGTTTTCTCCACCAAAGCTCAATGAGGAAAGAGCCAGGCAGGGGTCTTTGTCTCAGTAACTTTTGCTTTGTTTGAATCTTAATTTTGTCTTGTATCAAACTATACTGGAGGACAAAAACACGATATAGGCATTTGTATTTTGCTGGGTTTCCCCGTTCTATTGCTTTTCAAACACCCCTACTTCAGTGTTCCTAGTGGGAAAATCCCAAACTCTGTGCTGTGAATCAGGGCCTTTATGTGAATTGTGATCTATCGTATGTGTCAGATAGTGCTTTGCAATAAAAAAAGAAAATCAGAAGGTATGAAGCACGTGAATCGACCATGGGTCCGGGTTTTCCTGTCATCTGCTTTTTTCTCTTCCATACAGGTACAAGTATGATCAAGCCGCTCTGGTAACCAGAAATACTTGCACGTAGGAATGGGCTACCCAGAGGATCTATTTAATAATTCTACAGAACAATGATAGTAGCTTTATATGCAGGTTTTAATTTGTCTCAGGGACTAGAGTTATTATGTTTTGTTGTCTGTGTGTTAACTAATATTTCTTTTTAAAATTTTTTCCTCCATCAGTTTGGGAAGCTTTCAGAGTGTGTGTGTGTGTGTGTGAGAGAGAGAGAGAGAGACAGAGACAGAGACAGAGACAGAGAGAGAGAGAGAGAACAAACTTTGTGAAATCTTAGACCTAAATGAAAACAGCTGTTTCTACAACAGAGACTGGCTTTTCTCCCCAACAACTTTTCTCAGGATTAATATCTCCTTTCTTGGCGTAGGGTGAACTCACTGGTTGCAGCTTCAGAAGCAGCCCCTGGTAGCTGCAGCCTTCGGTGTTCGATTTATATAATAAGAGGCGGTTGGGGGTGGGAGGAAAGGCCTACTATAGAGCAGGGGGCAGTTAATTGACATTGTGCCGGGTTTGCACATGTTTTATATGTATTTTATGCTGTGCGCATGATCTATCTGCAAATAAATCCATCTCTATTTTATTCATAGTTCTAATGGCAAGTCTGTGTCATGGTCTGAACCAGGTGGAAGACAGGTGCCCAAGGGACAGCACATGTGGCACCGTCTCTCTGTGCACGTGAAGGCCAATGAGACGGCCTGCAACCAAACAGCCGTCATCAAGCCCCTCACTAAAAGTTACCAAGGCTCCGGCAAGAGCCTGACCTTTTCAGATACCAGCACCAAGACCCTTTACAACGTGGAGGAGGAGGAGGACGCCCAGCCGGTCCGCTTCAGCCCTCCGGGCAGCCCCTCCACGGTGGTGCACCGGCGCGTGCCGTCCGCGGCGGCCACCCCGCCTCTGACCGCAGAGGAGACGCCCCTCTTCCTGGCCGAGCCGGCCGTCCCCAAGGGCTTGCCCCCTCCGCTGCAGCAGCAGCAGCAGCCCCCGCAGAAGTCCCTGATGGAGCAGCTGCAGGGCGTGGTCAACAACTTCGCCTCGGGGATCCCCGATTTCCACGCGGTGCTGGCGGGGCCCGGGGCCCCCGGGAACGGGCTGCGGCCCCTGTACCCGCCGCCGCCGCCGCCCCAGCACCTGCAGATGCTGCCGCTGCAGCTGAGCACCTTCGCGGAGGAGCCGGTGTCCCCGCCCGCGGAGGACGAGGACGACAGCGAGAGGTTTAAGCTCCTCCAGGAGTACGTGTACGAGCGCGAGCGGGAAGGGAACACGGAGGAAGACGAACTGGAAGACGAAGAGGAGGACGCGCAGGCGGCCAGCAAACTGACCCCGGAGGATTCGCCCGCCCTGACGCCGCCGTCGCCTTTCCGAGACTCGGTGGCCTCGGGCAGCTCGGTGCCCAGCTCCCCGGTGTCTGAGTCGGTGCTCTGCACCCCTCCCGACGTGTCCTACGCCTCTGTCATTCTGCGGGACTACAAGCAAAGCTCCTCCACCCTGTAGGGAGGAGGGGCCAGGTGGAAGAGCGAGAGAAGCCGGCGAGCTCCAGCACCTCCAGAGATGCGGAGAGGCTGGGAGGAGAGGCTGGGAGGGGAGGCTGGGAGGAGAGGCTGGGAGGAGAGGTTGGGAGGGGAGGGCAACCGGGAGAGGAGGACGACGCTGCTGCTGCTGCTGCTGCTGCTGCCTTAAGTAAGGAGAGGGAAAGACACCAAGCGATGTGATCCAGGCCAGGATTCTGATTCTTGAGTTATTCAAAAGCCTTCTCTGGGAAGAAAGGGAATTCTGACAAAGCACAATTCCATATGGTATGTAACTTCTATCGCAAAAAATTATAAATAAATAAAACATGAAGTCAACAAAAATAATCTCCTCTTTTGCACAGTCGTGCATAGCTATATATGTCCACACACATTTGGCCACGCTTGGGAAGGGACGGCCCACGTGGATGTGCCAGCTGAGCCCTGAGTTCGCCTGCTGGCACGCACGGTGAGCCTGGTGGAGCCAGACAGAGCAGGTGCGGGGCAGGGGAGGGCGCAGGGTGTGGAATCGCCCAGTGAACAGATGAGGGGACAGCAGCTCGCTTCTCAGAAGCCCTTCTCCCTGCTGGGCGACAGGCTCCTAGTCTTCGGGAGACTCAGGAACTGGCACCCCATCCAGTGCCAGCCTTGCCATGGCGCTTGAAGAAAGGTGCATGAACCCCCTGTTGCTCTGCGATTTCCCTCTATTTAGGACAAGAGGAAGAAGGTCAAACTGGTCACCAAAAAGTGCTTCCTCAGGAGTTCTACGGGCGGAAGGAGTGAGAAGCAAAACAGTATGCAAGCCTGTGACTTTGAACAAAACCAGTCACCACCATGGGCTTCTCACATTCCGGACTCCCTTATTGGTGATTTTTGGAAAAAGGCCAGAACAAGAGATTGTTTTGAGAGTGGCGGAAGACCTTTTGTGCATTAACTCGTGTTTGTGCCAAATGGGCTCTCTCCATTGCCCTTCAGTTAAAAGAGAACAAACCATGTGGCAAAATTGTTACCTTCCACTATATTGTAGCAAATAATACTTACCAGTTGAACTTCTAAGATGCAGTCTATGTACCATGTGGTGCCATTGTTTCTCCTATGTACTACAGGAACAAATCCATCTTTGAATCTAACGGTGTACTCATAGCAACTATTACTGGTTTAAATGACAAATAATTCTTTCCTATTGTCACTAAAGTCCCTGTAACTAGCAAGTGAATGTGTTCCTTTGTCCTTGTTATATGTGTGATTATAAAATTTGTGCAATGTAATGTCAATCTAAACGCAAGTAGAAGAATGTCTTTCAGAGATAGTATAGCTATTTTTTATGTTCCAATAATGTTTTATAGCTCATTGTCACCAATATGTACAGAAACTCTTTGAAGGTTTAAATACTGTGGTCCAATATTTTTCAGAGGCAGCTTAGATGGTCATTCCTCTTCTAAGAGGGAACTTATTTTTCAGATATTTTATGATGTGGAAATATGTTATTAATGAAATGGTTTGAAAATTTATTATATTAAAAGTTCACAGAGACTGAAGGTGACAGTCAAAGGCACATTTTATAAGCTTGCACACATCATTATTATTACATAATATTGAAAAACCAGTGTTTTGATTATTTCAGGTTATTTTACATTTTTTTGAAGGTTTTCCACAGCTCTTGAGCATTATGTGTTTTTAGCATACAGTAACATCTAAGTCTGGTCATAATTTCTCAATTGTTTATTTATCACTTACATTTTGTCTCCTTTTCATTTTTATTTTCATGTACCTTTACTCTTGTATTCCACTGTCATAACTTTTCTTTATATTTTTGCTATTTGCTGCTGTGCAATATCCATGGACGTGTAATTCACTTATTCCATCTTGACCCTCCCTTTTTGCACCCAATAAAAGGATTTTTCTCGCTCTTTTGATTTCTTCTTTTATTTGTGGAACGAATCCTACCCCCTTAAAAATCTTTGTTTATGCCTTATGTTCAGTCATATTTTAATATGCTTCCTTCAAGTCGAAGCTGCTGATTTCTCAGCCAAAATCATCTTAGAATCTTTAAATATCCACTACATCATTTGTTCAGAACTTAACATCAACTCCAATGTTGGAGGCTTGTGTTTCTTATGTTTCACCATGTTCAACTGCCAAGTTTAGTTAGTTCCACATCAAGAAGGAACTGCCCTTTCTTTAAAACAAATCATTTGAAAACACCTTTAGTAAAAAGACCTCATGACTGAAATGTAGATTTTAGTTCCATGTTTTCATTGTAGTAAAACAAAATGAGGAAAAGAGATGGTCCCAATGCTTCATAGATGGATTTCTACTAATTGGCAAACTTGCAAGGGAAAACATACTATCTATTATTAGTGAAACATTTTTTTTTTTATCTTAATGCCACTAGCATATCTCCTTAATGTCACAGGACTTGTGCATTCAGATTTTTTAAAGTTAGAATGGATAAGGAAAACAACTTCTATTCAAATGTAAGGTGTCAGTTTGTTTGAGGTCTTGGTCTGAGACATTTGGTGAACACATTCAACACTGATCACATTATTACTCTGAATGCCTACTAATATCATGATTACGAGTTTTCCTGAATAATAGAGTATTAGTTCTTATATCATAATTGTTCAAAACTGGAGATGTACACACACATGCCCTATACCAAAAGGTCAGAAACTCTTCACCTTAATGTATGTGCTTATACAAGTTGTTCAGCTTCTTGTAAAAGTGTCTTCCTTTGGCTCATTACTGCCTTTTGTCAAATAACCTTGATGATGCTGTATAATAAATATTTTCTATTTATTAAATGTGTATGTTCCTTCTCTATGCTCTGTAAGAGTTACCATAATAGAAATAGACTAGTGTAAGAAACAATTCCAATGGTTTGAATTTGTTCAGAAGACATCTTCTAGGTATAAGTTGGAGAACACCACACAAAATCTACAGATCAGGTAGGTGATATAGTAGAACATAACTTGATGATGAAGAAAGCTACCTTAAGATACCTTAAGCTATAGCAGCTTTACATAGAGTCTAAAATTAAAATGTACAATACCCTTGACAGATATTGTCATTCATCTTTTTGGTAGAGCACAGGAGGCCTGACAGATTCCTATGAGGCTTTTCTGTCCTTGGCTCACTCGTGAGGGGAGCCTACTTTACTTCCTTGTTGACGTCCTTCTGCTCACCTCTAGTTCTATTCCTCTACATTTCAACAGGGCCTTCCTAAAACAAGGAAGTCTCTGTTATTCACACTTTCTGCCATGAGAATCCTGCAAAGTAGGACATTTCCCAAGTATTTATTCAAAAAAGAGAATACACTGGTATAAAGGCCACACCCATGAGACTGTGATGTGTTTGGATGATAGGAGCAAGTTCCATACAGGAAAGCTGATGCTGAAGAAATTACCAGAAACAGAGGCTGGAACACCAGGCGTATTTGTTCAGTGTGCCTAGACAATAAAATAAGAAATCATAAAATGAGAGCTTGGTGTCTCAGGAGAAAAAGTCATAGGAGAGAGAATTAAAAAAAAAAAACAGGGAAGAAAAAGATAAATGAAGAAAAGCAATAAAGAAGAAAAAGGAAAATGTTTAAGATGGTTAGTCCATAGATGTACCCAATTGTCATGGTAGGTCACAAGGGCCTCCACTTGGAAAGAATCCAGAAGCCTTACCTGAAACCTAGGGAAGACATTTGGACAGGTTGGGATCAGGGCCCAGATGCTACAAATGACATATGAATAACTGCCTCATGATTTCTACGGAGAGTGCCCTGTGAAGGAATCAAAGAGACAGGGCGTGACATTTGAACCTGGTCTGGGCCAGCCACTGTGCTAGGTTCTTTGCATTCATTCTCATTTTATCTTCCAAGTACTGCTGCCACATGGGAACTTTCCCAAAGTCTTAGCTAGGAAGTGGCCAAGCAGGGCTCCACTCTCAATTTTCAGCAATACAGAGCCTGTGAATTCATGTTCCTCTCCAGTGCCCAGGGAAGTATGTAGGAGTTAGTTCCTTTTTGCTTGGAATCAATTTTTCTTTCTGATTTCTGAGCCCTCAGGGCACAGCAGATACTCAGAAAAGGTTTATTGAGAAAGTAATAACAGTAAATGAATGTTATAACAGTATATAGTGTTCCCAGCTCAATTCCCTGAAGATTTATCCCAAGATCCTTATGGGGTCTAAAGCTCTATATTTCTACCTGCTAATCCTAACTCTGCCAGCTGGAACAACACATCCCTTAATCATGAAAACTAAGCTCTCCTTTTGGCAGCAAGAGCTGTCCCACAGGACACCAGGGCCTCCTTTCCTGCAAAGAGAGAGGCAATACTCACCATCCACTAAGCCCAGCCGGAGGGCAATGCAAACGGCCAGGGGTAAAGCAGGGGCTGGGGTCCCTTCCCCACAGAAATACATGTGTTCAGGCAGCATGAAAGACAAGCCCAGTTACCAAGGATTGGGGCAACAGGAGGTGAGAGAGAGCTTAGTTACACAGCTGAACTAGTAATACTGTAAACAGAAAACCAGTTTGATTTTCTCAGGGTAGAGCTTGGAAAGGAAGACTTATAAGTCAATAAATAAGAGAAGCAAAGCTTAGGAATGAGAACAACAAAAACTAAAAAGGAAATTAATGATAGAATCGTTGGAGTTGGAAGTAAACCTAGAAGTCATTTAAAACAAGCTCGCACCCCATTTAGGACTCCATTTCCCCATGTCCTGGTCCTCTGCCTAGAAGGTGAGAAGCCAGCACTGACCAGGGTGGGGCTTGGGCACAGTGCCCATTGCCTGTGGTTGCTGTGCCCAGGGAGAAGGCTGAGAGCCCTGGACACCAGGAGATCAGGTCCAAACCCACACTGCTAATCCACGATACTGGCCAGAGAACAGAACTCAGGCACAAATCCAGAATGAAGGTATCACAGGAATCAGGGAAACTAAAAGGAAAAAAACTAGCAAGGCAGGCAACAGGGTGGTTGTCTGGTGAAATTCCAGAGACTGAACTGAGATTTTTGTGAGAACCACAAAGGATTACATGTGTGACCTGGGTTTATTTTAAGGGATGGTATAGATGTAGATGATTTTTGCTCTCTGCTTAAATATTTCCAGGGACTAGGTGCTTGCAAGGATGAGGGAAAGCTCTATTTGTTAGAAAATTCTTCATTTTCCTGAGCTGAAGTTTGCCTTTCTCTAAGTTTGCCTTCTGGAAAAGGAGTGAACAAATTTAGTCCACTGTGCACATGACTTCCCTTCAGTGACTTGAATATAGTGATTATGTCATTCTTTAGTGATTTATTCTCCAAGCCAAATAGCTTCATTCCTTTTGTTATTTTTGTTGTTATGCACCTAAAGCCCTAATCAGGCCAGGGTCATATTCCAATTTTTGGATATCCTTTAAAAAATGTGGCATCCAGGCCTAAACATAATGCCACATATATTTTGACTCTCTTTAACCACGATTCTACGATCGCTGCCTAAGGTTGTATTAATTTTGTCAGCAGTCTTGCCACAGTTTGAGCTTACACTTAGCTCAGAGCCAACTATAACCCTTACGCCATTTTTATATAAACTGCAGGAAATGGATATGAATGTGAATGTTAAGTTGGGTTTCTCCAGAAAGAGTCCAGGAAAGGAGTAGTTGAGTCCAAGTCGTGTATTGGAAAGTGATCCTTGGAAACTCAGGTGGGAGAGCAGGAAGAGAAGAAGCAAACAATACGCAGCCAATAAAGGGGACGTTACCATGCAAGTCACCACTGTGGAAAACAAGGGCCCAGTTCTACCCGGAACTCTCAGAGAGCGTGGATAACTTGCCTCACAATTGTCCCCACTCCCCATGGGGCAAGGGAGTTGGAGACACTGATCCAACCAGTCCCTGCCAATCATGGTTGTGGAGGGAGGTGCACGTTCATTCCGGTTACTCCCAGGGTGTCCCAGGTGCAGGCTCCTGTCTCTACAGAAAGCTCTCAGGTGGAGAGTCCCAAATGCTGGCATTGGACATCTTAATGTTGGCCTGAGAGGAAGGTGAGTGCCAAGGAGAGATGGTCAAGGTGCCAAGAGAACATCTGCTACACCTATGGTTATGGAGAGAAAGAGAGAGAGAGAGAGAGAGAGAGAGAGAGAGAGAGAGAGAGAGAGAGAAGGAGAGAAAAGGAGAGAAAGGGAGGTAGAGGGATAGAAAGGGGGAGAGAGAGGGGATATATTCATAGACACAGATATCAGTTCAGGCAGAGGTGTGAAAACAAAGAGTTGTAGAAGGCAAAGCAAAGGTGTACTGAAGCACTTGCAGTGAGAACAGGCACTTCTAGAATCACACTTACCCTGCCTGTCTTCTAAATTATGCAAATCTCTAAGTCTCCTTCCACTTTCACCCCTGACAACACCATCACTGCACACAGTCAACAGAGTAATTGATAGTGCAAATTCCTTTGATTTGCTTTCTTTTTTTCAGATTTGGCTACAACGCATGATCTGTTTTCATGTAGCCACACAGACAAGCACATGGCAGAAATTTATAGCACAGATTTTTGTGACCAGTCCTTTTCATTTAACACAATTGAGACTGATAGTGACTGACATGAGGTCCGCCCCAAGTAACTAGTAGCTAGATGTGTTTTAAAATAATCTTTATCCTTTTCATATTGGAATACTCTATTTAAATTACTATAAGTAGTGGTGATGGAGAGAAGTGTTTTTAAATGATTGAAGACATCATTAAGGGTTTTAACTTTTTCAATAATTTTTAGCTATTGCAAATTAACTTCTGCTTATTGCCTAACCTGTTAAATAACTAGTTAAAAATTATGGGGTGAGGATAAAGTTCTTCCTTCTGCAGGGTTATATAGTAGAACATCAGTAACAGAAGAAAGGACTTATAATTAATGAGCAGTTTCTGCTTGTTCAGGCTGGCAATGTCTGACTTAATCAAATACAATCTACTTCTCCTGTAGAAATAGGGATAATTTACCACTTGATTAGATACATTCTATTTCTCCTGTACAAACACACTCTTTATTGCAAAGGGTAACTGTAATGCCCTGGCCAGAGGTGCAGGGTCTGAGAATCGGAGACATGGAAGTAATAAAAGGGCTCTGACCAATGACCCACATCAGCAATGCAAGCGACTCTGTAGGCTGACATGGTTATTGCCATGACTTGCAAAGGGTGGAATTTATGGCATGATTTACATTTATTTCCCTGATCAGGTTGCTGCACTAGTGTTGAGAGATTTCCTACCTATTGTTAACAGGTGGCAAAATTATGGTCCAATTTTGTAGAGCTTTAGCCTGTTTTACTTTCAAAAAGACTGTTGATTCTCATTGCTTCTCTCTTTGTCCCTATTTTTGAATCTTTAGATCTGAGGTCTGAAATACTAGAGGTTACAAATACTATCCATTTTCTGTTTTCCTATGTGACCATTCTGAATTTGCCTTAAATAGAAAGGCTAAGTAAGCTAAAGGGAAAACAGGCGCTCATGAAAGATTTAGTTTTCCCTGATTACCATCGTTCTGTTTGCTATTTCTGTTGGAATATGCAGGTAGAATTGAATGACAAATTTTGTTTATCTCTAGCTCTTGTGTGTGTCAAAGTAATGATACTACAGAGCATTATGTATAATGTATAAAGCAGTTTCACTTAAAAACAAATGTTATCCGCATTCCTCTTCTTTAAAACCAACATAAATATGTGACAGGTTTTAATTTTACCTCCAAATGTTTTTACAAAGCTTAAGAAACATCATCTATGTATATTTAAAATTTTTAAAATATTATTTTAAAGCTGATTCATCTTAAGCTTCAGTCTAGAAAGAGTCCTGAGC